ATATATACCTTCAAGTCAGCGGCACTGCTATGGGTACCCGCATGGCCCCACAGTATGCCAACATTTTTATGGCTGACTTTGAAAAAGGCATCCTTAGGTCTTGTCCCCTAATGCCCCTACTCTACTTGCGCTACATTGATGACATCTTCATCATCTGGACCCATGGAAAAGAAGCCCTTGAGGAATTCCACCATGATTTCAATAATTTCCACCCCACCATCAACCTCAGCCTAGGTCAATCCACACAAGCGGTCTATTTCCTGGACACTACCGTGCTAATAAGCGATGGTCACATAAATACCACCCTATACCGGAAACCTACTTACCTACATGCCTCCAGCTTCCATCCAGGACACACCACACGATCCATTGTCTACAGCCAAGCTCTAAGATATAACCGCATTTGCTCCAATCCCTCAGATAGAGACAAGCACCTACAAGATCTCTATCAAGCATTCTTAAAACTACAATACCCACCTGCTGAAGTGAAAAAACAGATTGACAGAGCCAGAAGAGTACCCAGAAGTCACCTCCTATAAGACAGGCCCAACAAAGAAAATAACAGAACACCACTAGCTGTCACCTTCAGCCCCCAACTAAAACCTCACCAGCGCATAATCAGAGATCTACAACCTATCCTGAAAGATGATCCTTTACTCTCACAGATCTTGGGAGACAGACCTGTCCTCACTTACAGACAACCCCCCAACCTAAAGCAAATACTCACCAGCAACCACACATCACTGAACAAAAACACTGACCCAGGAACCTAGCCTTGTAACAAAGCCCGATGCCAACTCTGTCCACATATCTATTCAAGTGACATCATAATAGGACCTAATCACATCAGCCATACCATCAGGGGCTTGTTCACCTGCACATCTACCAATGTGATATATGCCATTATGTGCCAGCAGTGCCCCTCTGCCATGTACATTGGCCAAACCGGACAGTCTCTACGCAAAAGAATTAATGGACACAAATCTGACATCAGGAATCATAATAATCAAAAACCAGTGGGAGAACACTTTAACCTGTCTGGCCATTCAAGTAAGTATTCTCACTCTTCTTATCAAACTGTCTGTACTGGGCTAGCTTGATTATCACTTCAAGCTACAATACTTCTGACATTACAGTATTAAATAAGTCATCTCAGCTGGTGCAATCAAATCTATACCCAGCACTTTTGGTGTCACTGACAGCCATGCTATCACCACGATCCATGTGAAACACTCACTCAAGGGATGAGCAACTGTTCTTAGAGCCTCCACCAGTCTCAGATCCCCACTGACCCCTGAACTCAGTGTACTTGTGAAAGAGACCTTTACAGTCTCGGTAGCTTTTCCAGTAAAGTGGAAATTTTCCCGAAAAGCTGAGGTTCTTCAGCTCTGCAAGAGCAGTTTTACTGGGAAAGTGTCCTTTGCTTCCATGTAAAAACTCTTAGGACTGACAATTCCATATACTTACCTGCTGAAGCAGGTCTTTGGGAAGGCTGGGGTCAGTAGTTTCTGGAAAACATATTTTCCTAAAGGAGAAAGAAGAAAGTAGGTATTACTCTCCTGCTGGGGGAGAGATACTTCAGAGGGTGAAAATGTTGCAGGGTAAAACACCCCTTCCTCTCCAAGAAGAGTTTCAAAGGCACTTACCTCTCAGGGATTCAAACTGAATCTCTGAGGGAAGATACTACAGAACTAAAACATTTTGTTAGAACAGAAAGACACCTCTCTCACTGTATGGGTGAAACTCCACAGATAGCTTGCAGCAGTCAGACAAAACCAGTTTCAGTCCAATTCCTAGCTAACAGGGCATCCACATCGCATAAGCCATCGTAACTGACATCCTTGTTGGCTACCTCAGCAGACAGGCCAAGAATTGCCTGGTTACTGAGACTGAACTTCCCACTCACCCCTCTACATTCTGCCCCCATGCCCTACCCAGTGCAGAGTTGAAGTATGTTGGGTAGACAGGGTGGGGAAGAACTCAGTCACTGCCTGTATATTACCTATTCTGTGGGTAAACAGGAATTCAATGTGGATAAACAAGACTTTATCAAGAAGATATAAAGCAATTTTAAGAATGAGAAAAATATCTGACAAATTCCTCCTTTAAAAAGCATGTGCACAAACATGGATACATGTTAGGATACAAAATCCAATCCTGTCTTTAAAAAGGTAGATGTTATTAAAAACAAAAAGGAAGAAAATACATTTGAAAACTCAGGCTATTGCTAGGTTTAAAAAAAACCACTTACAAAAATGAAGCATCAAGAATAACCTTTTTGAGGTCCAGCTTAAAGGTTACAAGCAAAACAAAAGCATTTGGGGTTAGCACAGAGGAGTCCACAAGCCATAAAGAAATAAAAAGAAATAACCCTAATCGCGTCTTCATAGACATTTCCTGATTTACTTACATATCTGGGGGTTTCAAGGGAGTAGTTTCTAGGTAAGATTCAGATGATTTTTCATACTTGGCCCCAAGCTTCTTACAGCATAGTTCCAGCCCTGTCTCTGCTTCTCCCGGAGAACAATAGACAGACAAAGGGGAAGTTTTTCCCCAATTTTAAAAAGTTCTAGCCTTCCCATTGGCTCTTTTGGTCA